ACTTGGTAGTACAACGTTAGTACGCAGAGTAGCTGGGGAATGGGAAGGAGGAGAACTGGCGAGGGGGTAGTAGCTGCGAACTGTCACCGTAGTATATAACTGTAGTGCGCGGAGTAGCTGGGGAGCGGTGGGGGGTTTGGGAGGCGGCATCACACACAGACACCCACACACTCCCTCAATTTCCACGAACGCACACATACGCAGACTCATTTCCACACGGACATAGACACACGCACAGAAACCCACACACTACCTCAACTCACTCGACTCCGTTTAGTTTCGTATTTCGTTTCGCGTTTCGTTTCGCGTTTCGTTTCGTTTCGTTTCGTTTCGTTTCGCCGAATCAACTCCACTCCACCTATGTCGATGACCTAGATCATCGAACATCATGATGGGCACCTTTTATCTCTCCAATTTGGGCACGCTCTCCGCAGCCGAGAATCTCCATGACCCGTTCACGTCATGCACATGTTTCACATGTTCATGCCGTGTGGACATCTAGTTGAAGCCACTAAGCTACTAGCTACTAGCAGGAAACCTACGTAACACTTCACACCGCACACTTACCGGATAACTCGCACTCTGACTTCCTACGTGATGAAAAATGCTTTCGGGCCACTCGTCGTCTAGTTTTTGTTGGTTATGGCTGTCAAGGACAGTGCTGACTCTGGACTTTGGTATTTGCATCAGGATTTAGCGGACCCACCCCTGTCGTGTGATTTTGCTTGTTTGCGGCGGCTTAATTTCTAGCACCGGCTTCAAACACTTATGTTTTTTTAACTTAACTTTCCTCATACACCCGAATTTGTGAAATTCAGCAACCGACCTCCAGACGTCGTCCCACTTGTACAGGGTGGCCCATCTGGCATGGCTTTGGGATGCCTTGGCTTTGCAGCATTTTCAGCAGTAGTTGCTCCCAGTCCCAACCAATGAGCAACAGGACCAAGTTTCTGCCAGAGAAAAGATCTTGATATGTTGGCAACTCAGGTCATAGAGAGCGTCATGGACCACTGAAGTGCATCCTTCAACGAAGCTATGCTCGTTCAACGAATTTGTAGAAAAACTTTGCAAACGGATTTGTGCAAAAGGTTGTGTTGTGGTAGCTTCTACTGTATATGGCTGAAGCTTGAAAGTGCAATGTCTGATATTGTGGTTTCAAGGTTCGTGTGACCTTTGTTGTAAATTTAACTTGGATTCACCTGGCTCGAGAAGCAAGAACCCATACATATCATACAGCTTGTCAGACAGCACCACAAGACAACTGGTGACTTCACTGCACTGATAGACCTCACTTCAGAGCTCACTTTGGGATGAGATGATGAGGTGGTTCTCCTGAGACTGGTATCTCAAAGTCTATGTCTATACTCACGAGCAATGGTTTGTGTAGCTGCTTTAAATGGTTTTCGCTTATCCGTTACACTGTACTGCCATATGCCCACCCACAACATATGAGCAGCGCACATGCATTTCTTAGGTGTCCAAAGATGCCAAGGCTTGTTTGCTCAGGGGATGTGTGAAGCAGGATGAAGCGGACTCATTCCAGCGATGTGGGGCAGAGGAGTGGATGAAGACATTTAAGAAACAGCGTTATGACTCCTCGTGCCCATGTGTTGCTTCTTGTTGCGTGTGACTTGTGATTTCGAGTAAGTGATTTCTTGGAAGGAGCTTCAAGTACCCTGGAATCTGTGTGGAACCTGCCAGCCTTTTGCACGGAGAGCCTAACCGTGTCTCTACTACACGTTTCACTCCGCTCACGTGGCTCCCAAAGTCCCTGTTTTTGCAGTTCCAGCGCGCTGCAAACATCTACTTTCTGTTCATAGCAGTGATTGTATGCATGCCATTTTCACCGAAGAGGTGGCAAAGCAAAGTCTTTCCATATATTCTGGTGTTGGCTTGGACTGCTCTGAAAGATCTCTATGAAGACTCACGGAGGAAGATGGATGACCACGTGGAAAATTCGCGGATGTGTTGGCGCTTCAGCATGGAGCATGGATTCGAGCAAATAGCATGGCGCCGAGTAAAACCAGGTGACTTTGTATGCACTATGTGCGACGAAGCTTTCCCAGCCGATCTGCTTGTAGTCTGTGCTGCTGGTGGTTACTCTGCTTTTATATCCACCGTGAATTTGGACGGCGAGACAAACCTTAAACTTCGGAGGCCTCCAAACCTCTTCTGTTCGTTGGAGGTAGACTTGTCAAGCACAGCTAGACCCACCGTCCCACCAACTGTGGCTTCTCATGTTGTGTCCCAAGCTTGCAGACAGCAACTTCATATCCATTTGGCATCACCATGTGCAGACCTTACCGAATTCAATGCATCTTTGTCCCTTGATGCACCAGATGTGCAGTCAGATGTGCAGGGCAGCCATTCAGCAAGTTGCGATAGCTTTGTGCCCCGTGGTTGCGTTTTACGCAACACGGACTGGTTGCTGTCCATAGTTGCCTATGCAGGAAAGGACACCAAGCAGTGCTTAAATTCGGCTCAGGTTTCTGGAAAAGTTTCCAACATGCAGAGTCTCTTGAACCGATGTGTCTATGGGCTTTTAACTGGACTCTTCTTCACATGTTGCTACATGGCAACCGCTGCCAAGATCATAGATTCCAACACTGAATGGCCAATTCGCTTCCTTGCTTATGCCATCACATTATATCATGTCGTGCCGATTTCGCTGTATGTGGCCTTCGAAGTTCTTAAGCTGATGCTTGGGCGGTTCATCGATAAAGACCCACAATTGTTTGGAGCGGCAGCTCGAACAGCTGATTTGGTCGAAGAGCTGGGCCAGATCGACTTCATTTTCTCAGACAAGACAGGAACACTAACGTCGAATGACATGCGCTTTGCAAGATGTGCAGTGGGGGACAAAGTCTTTGATTCTTTTCTTCAGGACTCTTTGGGTGGACCTGTGCCTGGTGTCGAGCAAGTTACCAGTATTTTCAATGAAGGCCCAACTGGATCTGGTGAATTGGGAAGCAAATTGCGTTGGTTCTTCACGTGCCTGGCCGTTTGTAACACAGTGGAAGTAAACGAGAAAACGCAATATTCTGGACCTTCCCCAGATGAGGTTGCCTTGGTCCAGGGAGCACATTTGGTTGGCATATCTTTGAAAGAGCGTGTCAAAGCTTCAAAACTGAAGAAAGAAGAACATGTGGTTGTGTCGACTCCCGAAGTAGAGGATCGTGTCTTCAGCATCCTTCACACCATTGAGTTCTCTGCTGATCGAAAGCGCATGTCCGTCATATGTAGACATGAAGGGGCGATTTATTGCATCACCAAAGGTGCTGATAGCATCATGAGCCCGCTGTTGATTGCAGAGCTTGGCCAGGAGGAGGAGGAGCAACTGAGACGCTTCTCCCAAATGGGCCTTCGAACACTTGTTGTGGCCTCAAAGCAAGTGGATCCATCCACTTTTGCTTCTTGGGAAGCCGACTGGTTGAGTGCGAAGACATTGCTTGAAGGTCGCACTGAGAAACTTGCAGAATGTGGGGCTACCATTGAGAAGGACTTGCAGCTGAGTGGCATCTCAGCTGTTGAGGATCGGCTTCAAGAAGGTGTGCCTGATGCCATTGCTGACTTAAAGCAAGCAGGCATCCGATTCTGGGTGTTAACAGGCGACAAAACTGAAACTGCCGTGGACATCGCCCACTCTTGCAATCTTTTCTCAAAGGATACGGGGCTTGCGTTTCTAACAGGTGCTACTGATGCACTGGGAGCTCAGACCTGCCTTGCCCTTGCGCAGAAACATTTAGAGCATGGGAAATGCGGCAGTATTGACAAACATGTTGACAATGGTTTGGTTATTGATGGTCAGACATTACAGTGGATTTTGGAAGGGCATGCAGAAGATGAACTTTACAAGCTAGGCATGCTGAGTATCGGATGCGTTTGCTCACGACTCTCACCAGCTCAAAAGCGGAGACTGGTGGATGTTGTCCGTAAGCATAGCAACTCCATCACTTTGGCCATCGGTGATGGGGCCAACGATGTGCCTATGATTCTTGGAGCTCATGTGGGGATTGGTCTTCGTGGAAAGGAGGGTTCTCAAGCGGTTCAAGCAAGCGACATTGCAATTTCGCAGCGCCCTGGTTCAGCTCAGCCAGGTGTATCCCAAGCAAACGAAAAAAACATGACATGGCATTCCTTCCATCATTCCTTCCAATCTTTACCTTATAACGTTCTATAACGTAAAAAGTTGGTTTGGATATGTTTGGATCTTTTCCCGAATGCGTAGCGAAGGGTTCTCGTTTAACTCTTGGGGGTCTGGGGGTGGAGCCTTGTTCGCGACCCGTTGTTTCTATGTTCGCAACCGTCCGCAACCGTCCGCAACCGTTCGCAACCGTCCGCGGTAGAGCGCTAAGGCGCTGCCATTGGGGGAAGCTTTTGCAAGTGACTATCCATGGATGTGTAACGTGTGAGTTTGCGCCGCTATTCCATTGTGATTTGCGTGAAAAGGACATGTCGCGCAAGAAACGTGATGCATTTCGCTGCACAGGCGCAGCGTTTTGTGAGATCCGCAGTTTGCTACGCAGTTCCATTGGGATTAGCGTTTGGAGAGTCGTGTTTTTGGGGTGTTGGATGTGGCCGTGCCATTGGGATTTGCGTTTCAGGGTGTGGCGTCGAAGGTCTGTTTTCGTGACAAGTCTCAGCTGAAATGCCGATTTTGGTGGATGGGAGTGTGCTCAGAACGGGTCGAAATCATTCCAAACGTGTGGTGTGGTGCAAATTTTGTTGAAGCTCACATGAGATGATATTGTCACTTTTTGTGGCAGGCGCAGTACTTTGTGCGGCTTTTGAGGTGTGGAAGTGCGATTCTCGTGGCAGGCGCAGGGAATCGTGAGGTTGCGAGGTGTGGAGGTGTGACGGAGGTGACATTTCGTGGCAGGCGCAGTACTTTGTGCGCCTTAGACGTGTGGACGCGGAAAGGTTCGTGGCAGGCGCAGGGAATCGGGAGGTTGTGAGTTGTGGTAGAGGTGAATGTCGCTGTCACATTGGGATTGGCGTGTGAGCGGTTGTCGTTTGGAGGAGCTGGAATCGCGAAACTGCTTGGCAGGGCTGCGTGATGTGTGTGCTCCGATGGGTGTTTCCGCTGGACTTTTGGAGGAAGTCTCGTGCGAAACGTTCGTTTTTCAGACTTTGATATGTGAGTTTTTGAGGAAGTCTCGTACGAAACGCTCGTTTTGGGGACTTGACATGTGACTTTTGGAGGAAGTCTCGTACGAAACGCTCGTTTTGGAGACTTGACGTGTGACTTTTGGAGGAAGTCTCGTACGAAACGCTCGTTTTTGGGACTTGACGCGTGACTTTTGGAGGAAGTCTCGTACGAAACGCTCGTCTTGCATCCTCGCAGCGTGACTTTTGGAGGAACTCTCGAACGAAGAGTGTGCCCTACAGGAGTGTCCCACAAGAGTGTCCTACAAGAGTGTCCCACAAGAGTGTCCCACAAGAGTATCCCACAAGAGTCTCCTACAAGAGTGCCCCACAACAGTGTCCCACAAGAGTGTCCCGTATGAGTGTCCCACAAGAGTGTCCCGCATGTCCCACAAGAGTGTCCTACAAGAGTGTCCCACAAGAGTGTCCCGTATGAGTGTCCCACAAGAGTGTCCCACAAGAGTGTCCCACAAGTGTGT